CGCCTAGGGAAAAGTGGTAGAATCACTATCCTCAAGATAAAAGGTGTGAGGATGTGGCACTTAGTGGTAGACTAGGTGCTGGGTTAATGGTTCAGCTGGATGATATTACAGGTCTTCTTCAATATCAATAATTCTATGATTCTGTCATTCATACTTTGCAATCCTTAAGCTTCCTTACAAACCCACTGTTTTCTTCTGCTTTATGTCAGAATTTAATGTTTCCTGTCTGGGTACCAGTTTGATACTACCACTAGTTTGCGTTAACTTTGCATAGATAGCAACAGCTGAATTGAAGAGTCCAAGGATGCTTATAGCTCTATTCCATACAGTGATTTAGTTTGTCCCCTACCTGCCTTCTGATCTATTCATAGATTTAAAGCAAGGACTTGGATGATATACCAATTAACTTTACAAAGTCTTCTCTTGGTATAAGGTAGCTGTTGAGTACATTCAAATAAGAATAGAAAAAAAAGGAAGGGTGGAGTTTTTGTGCCTTGTGCCTGCTTGGCAAGAGTCTGCTCCTATCTGTGGTGCTCAGCATTTTGATGACACAGCTCAGGGAGAGAGTATTTTCTCTGTACGGGAAATGGATTTTATTCATAGCCTTTCATCTGTTTTCTTAAGTTGCCAGTTTTTAACTGTTTTAAAATGGAGAGTAACACAGCCATTACTGATCTAACTAGTAATTAATTATGCCAACTGGTACTCCTGGGTATTCAAACACACAAAGTAAATAATTTTTACTTATATCCAAGCCCAAGTTACAGAGTACAGAGCCATACATCAGATCCGGGGATTACGTATTTAACTTTTTACCCACTTCCATTTCAGTGATGGGAACAGTTTACCATGTACTACTGTAGTAAGTTCCAAACAGGGACCATTAAACACTAATGAAAATTAATCATGTGCCTATACAGTTGCTATGTCAGCTCTTGCAATTCTCCTCTCCTACATTCACTTTTCTTTTAAACACCATCTTTGTAAGTTGCATTTGTTTCAAAGTTGCGGTTTTCAAGCTGTGGTTCTGTTAGTGAGCATGCTGACTTGGGCAAGCATGCAGGACTCTGCATTCTACCCACTCTAAATTGAATTTCATTGTTTGTTAAAAGTTTGAAATTTGCCAGAAATACAAGAACATATTGCAGTTTCAGCTTCATAGTTATCTCTCCTTTTGATTCCAAAGGAGAAAGAGTGTTGGTAGTAGCATACTTTTTACACGCCTGTGGCAGCTTGTTTCTGGACAAATATTGCCAAGGAAAACAAATAGAAAAGGAGCTTCATACAAATGAGGTTCCTGTATGTCATTTCACCAAAGACAGTACTAACTAAAAGGGTGGAATTATATGCTTGTATGCACCTTGCAAGCAGTTTGACAGAAACAAGAGAAAATCGGAAACATTGCACACAGATATTTTTTTAAGCAAAAATATTTTCTAAATAAGTAGTATTTCTTAATTCTTTTTTAACGTGTGCAGTATATAAGTGTTTTTAATGTGAGCACACATGGGACTAGCATGTTGAGCTGATGCAGTAGCAATGAACTGTCACAGTTCTTTCGCAGTCAGATCTTTTAATTTATTCTGGTCCTTCTTCCTTTCAGCACGTAGCCTGCTAGTTGCTAGGCAACCATAAGTGATTTTTTTTCCTTTTACTGCACATGATTTTTATGTGGTAGTTGTTGTGTTTATTATTTTCTAATTACATAAGTGGGCAATAGGATTAAAATCAGAGTTGCATTAATAATTACTAATTCTCATCTACCATATCCACAACACAGCAATTTGAGATTGTTAGAAAACATCCCATTCATTTATAGTATGGATGCACATACACAATGGGAGTGCAAGATGGTATTTCATTGTGAGAATAGGTTTTATGAAAATGATAGAACAGAATAAGCTGTTATTGATCTGACTAGACAAAATCAGGTTGTAGTCTTCTGTCATGCCCTTAATGCTTTTTCTCTCATGGCCTTAAATGATTTTCAGTAATTAATTACATCAAGCAAAAGCTTGAGGGTTTTCTATGGCATTCTTAGTTTAATAGAATGTGTAAACAAACCACGGTCGGTTGTTTTTGGACCTGGAAAATAGAATATTGCTGTTTAAGAATTTATGAGTTGTATTTTTAATATAAAATACCATATAAGGGTGGGTGTATGGATGTAAGGAGAAAAGAATACAGCTGTGAGATTAAAAGCTATAATCATTAGGAGCTATTTCAGTAGGACAGATAGGCTAAATATGCCTTAAAATATGATCAGAATTAGTTTATTAGTGGCTGTTTCCATTCTACTGAAGTAATTCTCTTCAGTATTAGATTCTAAAGCAAAGTTGAAGAAACCCAGAATCAGTGGTTCAGTAATTTTACTCAGATAGAAATTTCTTTTAAGGCCACTGAAATAAAACACATCAGTGATAGTCCTTCTGTACAGCTAATCCATACTGACACTGTACCAAAGTGCAGGTAAGTTACAGTGTGCTGTGTACTGGTGCAACAGGATACTGCTTTGTTTTGCTTTGCTTTCCTCAGGATCAGTGCCTTGCATGTATGAGGTGTGCGCTGATCATTTACTGAATAGCTGAATTCCCCCTGGGCTTCTGTATAATGCTCCTAAGGAGTCTGAATGTTTTGCAGATACAGTACTTTTTCACAGCATTTTATTCTCATTTTATAAATAGGGAATAGAAACTTAAATTTTAAGATACCATTTGGTATCTTAAAATTTAAGAGAGATAAGTTTCTGGTTTTCATAGTGTTGTATATGTTCAGAAGAAATTCCACTGATCTTAGTTGCAGCTGTTACTGCTCAACACTTCCTTCTATGAACAATAAAAACAAATAAAAATTCAGTCCTCAGTTTTCAAAGGAATAGAAACACACATTAATTTACTCAGTTATGTAGAACGTATATAATGCATTGCTTTTCCTTGTATTGATTCCCTTCCTTTGAGAGGGCAGTGTGTGATGAAGACAGGTTCTCTCATGTAGCATGACATAGACCCTCACACAGGTCAAGAACAAGACTGGTGCTTTTAAATCCATTGTATAAATGCTTGGACAGGGCAAGTATGAAAGTAATGAATTTGTGAGTCCATACCAAAGGAGATGGTAGGTGCAGTGGCCAGAATTTCAATTATTTGCTGGCAAGAGAGAAATGGGTAGAACTTAGCTGTGACGGTTACCTGGACATTTTATGCTTTTTTCTATTTCAGTAACAGGGTTCTTCCTAAATAAATTAGATCTGTTGGGTGGAGTTGCTAGTAGCTGCTACTGAGGTTCTAGTGGTCTTTGTGGATATCTATCCCAACAACTGTATGAAGTACATGGACTTCACTGTCCTCTCCTGGGACAGGGATGCATCATATGCCCTCTGCCTTGTCTCACCTGCAGCAGCTGCACCCAGGAGTGTGTTCAGGTGTGTGCCAGAACCTTGCTGAGACCCAGGAAGCAGCTTGGCAGCTAATGCTGAGTATGCAAGGGCTGCTGCTGCCACTGCTGCTGATTAGCAGTCTGCTAATTAGAGTATTTACATTATTGTCCTCTGTGTTGGAAGGAACACCGTTGTCTCAGGACCAAACTGAGAACAGCAAAAAATCGTGGATTAGGTGAGCACCAGATAGTTAGGAAATGAAGAAAATCTGTTTATTTCTTCTTGTTCATTTATCTATCAGGTCCACAAAAAAAAAATAGTACCTTCTCATATTATGTTACCTCAGGCATTAAGAAATGCATACTGTATAGCGGGCATTCATTACTTCCATAAAGAGCAGAGCTGTTGCCAGTTTTGTGCTTTTAATCGTCCTTATTCTCCATTGCAGAATTGCTGCTGTTAATCTTCAATTCAGTTTTAGTTTAATGTCTGGTAAGATCCTACACCATTCTGGACAGTGGTTGCAAGAGAAAGCCCAGGGGGAAACCAGTACTTGGTAGCTTTCTTGCCTAACTCCTATGGAGTTAGGTATTCCTGAGATACTATCTGAAAATTCAGCTGAGTAAACAGGGCCTTTCTGGAGTGGCTGGGAGAGAATAAAGCATGTGAATGTGACCTGGGAAATGCTTGCAAATGCTGTTTGCAGTTCTTCACAGGACTGCTTTTTTCTGCTACACTATGAAAATTACATGCACATGGGGGAAGAAACTCAACCAAAAACAACACAAAAGCAACTAAACCCATAAGTGTCATCAGCACATTTCCTCTCAAGGTGACTTACAGCCATGTATTACTTGGAAAATGACAAATAAGAAGATTAAAAAAGATCCTCAATATGAAAGTGTTACAATAGCTATTAAAAGAGGATAAACAATGGGAAGTATGGGAATCTTGGAAAGTTTGGACACCTCTGAGTTACAGGCAATGTTCTGACAGTATAAAAGTTTTATAGAAAGTTTTATCACTTTATTTCAAATGAATGAAGTACAAATGACAGTAGTGATTTTCAATATAGTTGGAGTAATCTTCCCAGAAGCCCAACAGTCATCAATAGAAGTTACTCATTTTTTGTTGTTTTAACATCAAGGTAGTCTAATAGCAATCAGCATATAATATAATGGAAATCAGTGTGGTTTGCTATAATGAGGAATTACAAGACTAACTGTATAGTGATCAAGAAGACAAGAGTGACAGAAGGGAGAATTGCTAAAAATTACTGAAAAAAACTAAGGAAACAGTAAGAATATATTCAGCAAAGAACTGTGGAATTCAGATGCAAATCCTGATTCTTTTTTCATAAAACCTCTTATACATATTCATCTCTAATGATGTTAGATATCAGTGACATTTTAATGATACATTAGGACAACAGTTTAAAATTTCAAATGTAAGTTCATTATCTGTACCAAATTTAGAAATCAGGGTTCAGGTTCTAATTCTTTGAAAGAAAAACTGTGATTTTATTCCATTATTTTAACTTTTTTCTTATTATTACATAGTATGTGTGTGTTTTGTGAGAAAGATGTAATAATTCTTTTCAGTATGGCTTTGTTTTTCTTAACAGTTCGGGACGGCAGCTAAGTGAAGTCTTCATTCAGCTTCCATCTAGGAAAGAGCTGCCAGAGTATTATGAATTGATTAGGAAGCCAGTGGACTTCAAAAAGATAAAGGTAAGGAATGGAGGAATTTTGGAAGTGGAGATTCCTCCATTTCTTTCTGTTTTACAGAAGGATGAGCATAAAGTTGTTTTTAAAATAACAATATGAATATTTCATGCCACCTGTATTGGTAGATTAGATTTTAAACATAGTTACGTCTCTTGTTTGTAATTTTGTTTAGTGTATATTGCAGTGTATCACTGTAATTTCAAGGCCAAATCAAACTACAGTAGTGTGACATGGATGACATCTCAGTGCCTTTTGCAAAAACCTAATTGTGAATCTGTCAACAGATTTGATAAAAACACGCTGTTGACAAAGATTTAATAGTTCTAGTGGAATAGTATACCCCCTATGTTTAAAATCATAGAACCATAAATATCCTGAGTTGTAAGGGGTGGACACATACCATCAAGTCCAGCTTCTGGCCCTGCACAGGACACTGCAAGAATCACACCATGTGCCTGAGAGCACTGCCCAAATGCATCTTGAACTGTCAGGCTTGGTGCCATGACCACTTCCCTGGGAAGCCTCTTCCAGTGCCCAACCATCCTCTGGGTGAAGAACCTTTTCCTGATATCCAACCTAAACCTCTCCTGCCACAAATTCAGTCCCTTCCCTCAGGTCTTACCACTGGTCAGCGCAGAGAAGAGATCAGTGCCTGCCTCTGCACTTTCCCGCATAAGGAAATTGAAGACTTCAGTGAGGTTTCCCCTCAGTCTCCTCCTTTCCAGGCTGAAGAGACCAGATGACTTCAGCTGCTCCTCATAGGGCTTCACCTTCTAGACCCTAGCCTCATATCTTGGAAGAGGGAGATCAGATCCAAACAGAGTTTAGTAGATGGAGTCTAAGGCACTTTGGGTGATGTCATAATTCTGTAACTTTCAATTGTGTTACAGCTACTGGGTTTCTTCATTAGAAAGACAAAACTGGAACTTCTTTTACCAAAAGAGCTCCATTGCTTTTAACCCTTACAGTTCACAAAGAAATTGCTTAATTTTTCCTTTTTTACCTTGATACATTTTTTGAGTAATACGCTGACAACACGGTTGAAGACATTCTATGTTTTAAACAGATACTTATCTAGATGCTTAGGTAAAATTTTTTAAGATAAAGCTTTTAATGCCTTGAATCAAATATTAATTCAGTTTCCTCTCTGCTGTTCTTTCTGCATCACTGCCCATCAATACTTGTCTTCATTTCCTCAACAAATGCAACAGGAAAGAATTCGCAACCATAAATATCGGAGTCTTGGGGATTTAGAAAAAGATGTCATGCTGCTGTGTCACAATGCGCAGACATTCAACTTGGAGGGATCTCAGGTCTGAATGAATTAATTTCTGTTAAACATACAGGTTTCCCCTACCTAATGTTTTTCGTGCTTGTTGATTATTATTTTTGTATATAAACTCTGTGTTAATTCCTACTTCAAGTGAAGAAAAATGGCCATATTTTTAGAATCCAGAATTCGCTGGACACTGCTGCAGTGTATACTTTAGAAAATTTGTTTTTAGCACTGATTCTGAGATCGGTTTTTTTCTGATCTGTGTGTACTTTAAAGCTGCAGTATTTGAATCTGTGGTAAAAAGGCGGTGTGTGGAGTGATACATCAGTTTAGGTTTTCCACAGTGAATACAGAAGTAGCAGATGTAACCGTACAGCTCTAGGACAGGATGTTGAGGAAATACATCATAGAAAGCTCTTCAGTTCTGCTAATGAAAGATAAAAATTAAAGCTTGTCCATCCATAAAGATGTGTATATGAAGCTTTTCACCCTCTGAAGCCTCTGTTTCTAATTTTTTTTATTGTTGAAAGGTCAGTGTCCATTTTAAGAAACAGTAGGAATAAATCCCAGAAGAGTCTCAGGTTTAGATGGCCAACTCAAACAGATATTTCGCACACGTTTGGGCTCAGAATTCAGAGCGGGGTGCTGATACAAAAGGAAAAACTATGAAATCTGGATTGCAGATACAAGACAGACATAAGGATAGGATAAGGAAGTTGTTCCACAACACAGTAAAACACAGTCTTGGTTGATTACTTTTGTAGATAAGATCCAAAAAGTGTGATGCAAACACCATATTCCATTGAAGCAGAGACCATGAAGACAGCTTCCATAACATGCAGAGATTAAAAAAAATGTTATTTGGAGCCTAAATAAAAATAAGCTGAAGGATGATGCTGCCAATAGCAAATGTTTCCTTAAAATCTCTAAACATTAGTGATAACATTTAGCTAAATTAGGGAGTTTATGTTAAATTTTGAGAATTAAAAATTAGTATGGAATTTATTATGAAGAATTGTTGGATTCAGTTCATCATTTAGTGATTATTTTTGATATCAAGAAAAAGAAAATATTATTTCTGTAATATGTAAATGCGATTTTTTACTGTCTTCAGTTACATGGAAACAACTACAAATAAATGAACTGAAAATATTTGTAAAAGTAATTATGGTAGAATGCTTGGGACATAGTTTTGCTACATGTCCAGATATAAATTTTCAGTTTACTGCTTATTCGTATAGCAGTAAAATGGCTATAAGTACCTAATTTTAACAAGAGGGGGGAAAAGTGAAGGAAAGTTAATAACAGAAAGTATAACTGAGATTTCAGAAAATGGTGGAAGTTGGTAAAAGAGGAGATAAAAAGAGGTAAAGAAAAAGCAGTAGTGAAATGGGAAAAATAACGAAATTATTCACATCAGAATGACTCAGCCTGCTTATGGAAAACTGGTCTCTTCTACCTGAGACAGTAGAATTGAGGGGAATAATGCTGGGTGGATAGAAGTGTTAGTAGTTATTGCTACTCTGTTTGAAAATAACCTAACATGAATCAGTGTTGCAGTACTACTTTCTGTTCCAATGAATCAACATTAATTAACAGACCTAATATTACTTTTTATACCATAAAGCCAAAATATGGTGTATCTAAGTTCCTTTTCTTTTTGGTTTTTTTTTTTCCTGTAAAGTTCTCACACCATTCATTTTGATTTCCCCTGAGTTGCAGGACACTTCTGCTGTAGTCTTCCAGTTTCCAGACTTCCTTGATACCTTGTGTTCTTTGTTACATTTCTGGTCTACCTTTTCTCTGACATACCAATTGACTTCAGTTAATCAGATTATTAGTGTGTGCACTTATAACAAAAGGGCTAATTCAGGTAGTTGTTTAAGCACACAATCAACTTCACAGAACACAGAACACTACAAGTATTCTGTTAGTGTGGTGCGTGCTGCTTTTCCTTGGAGCAAAGCAGTTCCATCTGAGATGGAAGCTTATTCAGGGTTTTCAGGGATAGAAGGACTTGAAGTGTTAAGGCTTTTGTCCTCAATGGAATCTCAGTGTTTTGTAAAGCCTTTCATGTTGTAACAGTCAAATGACAAACAGATGTGTACAGGGTTAAAAATGCTTGTGTGTCTCTTCAAACGGAGGATTTCTCATGAATGTTGTAATTTGTTGTGAAGTTATTTTGTTGTTGCTTCTCCCTTTGTGAAGGAAGTTCTAATGTCATTGTTGCTTGCTTTTTAGAAACCTGGGTTTCTGTTAAAATAATAAAATTTTGATTTGCACAGTTGTTCATGAAGTAGCCCCATGGGTGTTTTTGAATATCAAAATAGATAGGTATATTACAAATAATTTCACATAAAGGTTGTTAAAATAATTTTTGAAGCCCCTGTATTTCATTTCATTGGGAAACTGTTTGAAAGTCTGGGTCACATTGATGCCCTAAATATGTAGTGGCCAGCATTGAAAAAAACAAAATGTTGTACAAGTCTTTAATTCTTTTTGTCTTAAAAAGTGTTTTTGTGAGAAAGACCAGAAGATTAGTTGAAAGAGCCATTCCTAAGAAGAATTGAATTTGTTAGGCTTATGTATAAGAAAAATAAATAGTTCTCAAGAGGAACTTGGCAGGTTCTATCAATAGCTGACTTGAAAAGAAGTACGTGTAAGAGAAAGTCAATTGTTATTTGACTTTAAGGAAGGACGTTCTGGAGTCTTACAGCTCACTAATGTCATAAGACAGGAGAGCAGCCTTCTCAAAACACTCATGATTATTTTTTATGGAGAACAGATATATAAAAATTTTACCACGATTGAGAGCAGCCAAACATCTGAAAACAAAAAGCACAGAGGAATTCACAGAATGGGGAACGATCCACAGTGAAAGGCAGTGTTTCAAAAAAAGCACTTGGTGGTCAAGTGAAAAAAACAGGAATTGGCTATTTCATGTTAAGTATTCTGAATAAACTTTTTCTAATTCAGCTTGTCGAATCCACGAAGAATTAGAGCACTTCTATCACGTTTAGCATACAGACTGCATAATGGCAGCCAAAAATACTTCCATTATCTTTTTCACAAATATCTAGTGTCTCTTTATACAAAAAAGTGTGTCATTTAGACAAAGGAGTGGAATGACAGACAGGCAAGTTAGAGGATGATGATAATGACGATGATGATAAAATCAAATGCAGTCTTTGACTCTGTACTTTTCTAGTAATTAATCTTAATTGTTTAGTGCTGAACTGTGCAGTGCTTGTCTTCTGACTTTTTACAAAACAAACCACACAAGGTCACTTGTTCAGGTGATGACAAAGAATCAGATACTCAGCAACACAACGAGATTTTTACTGTGTTAGTTTAAGAAATGTGTTTCAAGCCAAAAGTAGTCACTCTTGAGAGTCCCCTCATGCTGGAGGTTAAAGAGACAATCTGATGTACTCAAGATACTTTGGATACTACAGAATGTTTGAGAGCACATGTTCAATTTAGAGCAAGCCCTAATTTTTTTCCAGTTTTTTTAGATCTGAGACAAAGGAAGGGATGAGCTGCTTGAGATAAATTATTTTCCTTGTAGCCTCTTTGGATTTCAGAAAAAAACTAAAGATAATTAAATGAGGGTTAGCTATTTGTCATTATTAACTGTATTGCCAGACGATAACCCATGTTTTAATTAACATGCTTACTGCTGAAGTCTGTTCCTTTGGCAGGTTTTCAAGGGTATTATGATCTGATGAAAATGTACAATAGTTCCTATGGTAGTAGTAATACATTAGTAGAAAAACATTAACTAAACATTTTAGATGTAATACATTGTAAGAGTTGTTTGTTTGCAGCTCACTACTTACAAATTTCTTCATTTAGACCATGAAGAATAAATGTTGGTATTTCTCATACAATTCATGCAACAGACATTATTACTTCATATTTGAAAATGCCATGCACCCTGTAGACTTTCATTGGAAATTTAGGTCTATGCTGTGAATTTCTGATTCTGCTTGACTTCATGGTTCTGACAGAGATTTGTACCTGTACTGTAGATCTATGAGGATTCCATTGTTCTTCAGTCTGTGTTCAAAAGTGCACGACAGAAAATAGCCAAAGAAGAAGAAAGTGAGGATGAAAGCAATGATGATGAAGAAGAAGATGAAGAAGAAGAATCGGAATCAGAATGTGAGTTCCCTGCTAGATACTGACAAGGAAATAGATCTGGGGATGGAAGAGCAGGTTTTGCTGCTTCTGCATGGAGACTGATTATAAGGTTCTATTTTCCATTGGTGGAAGTATAAGATTGCTTGAGTGTAACATTGTTTTGGTCTTTCAACTGGGCATTCTTTTTTACTTCTATTTAAACTATTCTTAATCTAGAAACAAATCATAGAGGTGCTTTGTGGGTGGTCATAATTGTTTATAAGCCCTTCAGGGCTAGTTCATGCTGTATTGGCAAGTGGTCAACCTTCAAGCATGATGTGATGTACAAAGTTCATCACATGGTTAAGAACGAGATGATGTTGAAAACACTTTTCAGTGTGACAAGGACTAAGTGAACCTCTGATTGTTTCAGAATGCTCATTAAGTCCCTGCAGATTTGGAAACATGATGAAGTGAAAAAGGATGGATTCCTTCATTGCACTTTGTGCCATCCAGTACATCTATCCAAATTCCAGCTACCCCTTTTCTCTGGTTGCAGAAGGTGTAGTACTTAGCCCAGAGCTACCCTTCCAAGTGTGTCACACATTTTGTGCTAAAGCATGCAAATCCAGTAGCTCATTTGGAAATGAGTGGATACTCTGGAATCAGAATAACATGTTCTTTAGAAAAGTATCAACTCAAAATTCACCAGTAACCTCCACATTGCATTTCTGTACTTAAAAATACAAAAAACGTCTGTTTATACAAAGGCGAAAACATTTCTGTCGTAAGGAAGAAAATATTTTTAAATCTCTGTCTTCTCACAGGACCATACAGTACTTGTGCACACCATACATTGGTGTATGGATGCATATGGTTAGCTTAAAGTTAGTCTTTATTGCTTAATATATATTATTGTTAAAACTACTAAAAACGAGAAATAAAAGCAAATACCTCTTGCTTTCCACAGTCCATGTAAAGTCAGAGGGGAATGCCTTT